ACACACACACACACACACACACACACACACACACACACACACACACAATGAAATGAGTCATTTCAAAACATGATGTTGGCAGCTTTTAATAACTGGAAACTATACAAGAATAAAAGTAAGTATTTGATATTTACACAGTAATACTTTCAAAAATACTTTTTACATTGCACACACACGCACGCAGGGCCACTCGATTACATGCGCCTAACAAGTTACTGCTCATCAAATCAACGCTACCAACCAAAACTCAGATATTCATCCTCTAATAAAACCGAAATAACAACTTGTGTCACTCATCAAACAACAGTGTGAAGAAGCAAACCCAAACTCAACATAAACGTTTAACTGAAATATGAAAGCCTGGAGTAGAAAAATATTAAGTTTTATCATACTGGGGTAGATAAGTATGCAGGGACTCAAGTACAAAAATATTACCAAGAGTATTAAAATGAACAGGAAGAGAATATAGCCAGCTATCTCTCGTTTTTTGCTTGAGAAAACGGTAGGAATACAAAAACACTAACATTATATTTGTCTTTGAACATCACACTACACACACTGGGATCACAACGTCACTTACTATGCAGCACACAATATGAATCATTAACTATTTATGTAGAACTATGACTTCAAACTCATAGTTGTTTAATCATTTAAGGCCTTTGACCCTTGTGATGTCATTTGTTCCTTTTAGGAGTTTTACATGATCCTTAACAAACAACTGCTGATGATTTCATCTTGTTTGAGGAAGTCCCCATAAAAAAATAAAAAAAGTTTCATCTTTAGGTTATGATGAAAAAAAATCCCAGGGAAGAAAACGTTTTAAACTCACCCCCGGAACGCAGGAATTAATAGTAAGCCACATCTGCCAATCGTTTTTTAATCCTGAATTCAAAACTCAGCTAGTTTTCCCTCTAACCATGTAGTTAGTGATCCTTTACACCTTGGATGCTAGCTGAGTGCAATTAAGGAGGTGACAGCAAAGGCAGCTCCCCAGGAGAGGACGCGCCACTTTTAATACGGGCCACTGGGGGTCGCTCACTACTCACTAAGTGCAAAATGAATGGGAGTCAATGGATGAAAACAAAAATCTCATATTACTACAATTTAAGGGACTTTTTTTTCTCCTACACCATACTCACTTCTGTGCCAGATGTAAATGTGTGCCCTGCTCAGAAGAAGACATGGCCAATCTGTGTGATTTAGCCACTTAAAGATTAAGAATACTGTGTCCTCAATGGTGAATGTAGCTTGAATGTATCAGCATGTCACCTTTCGGAACATGAAAATCCAAAAGAATTTTAATTGTAGAGGTTTTTTTTTAGCTAGCAGACATGCTTTATATTGCCAATTTTTTGGAAGTGGAACAAAGAAACATCTTTGCTGGAATCTAGGAATCTATGAACCATAATAGCAACTTTTGAGACAACTGGTGCTTCCTAGCACTGCAGCTTGCGGATGCTGCGGGAAATCCTCTTAAACTCTCGCTGTCCCTTCTGCCAGCGCTTCAGCGAGGTGATGACGAGATGGCCGTCCATCTTCTGGCCCATGACCAGGTAGGCAGCGTGGATGTCGTTCATCTCCTCACAGATGCACTGCAGGCCGTCCTTCAGCCACAGCACCGTCTTCCTCAGGTCACGCTCCGTCACGCCGTTCAGCTTGTAAATGGTCTTGCTCTTGTTCTCCGGCACTATCTTGGTGTCCCCGTTGATGTAGGAGATCTCTTTAACTTTGATCTTCAGAGCTTGGTGCAAGCAAGAGAGAAAATTATTGGATTTGTTTTCACAAAATCTGTGTGAAGATCATCTATTTTGACTTTTTTGAGCCCCATGAGAAGGCCTATTTATGGTTTAGTGCTAAAATGCATGCCATAGTAAAAAGTGAATAGAGAAATCCTGGTCACAATACACATTCTTTCTTTGCACTTTTTAGTGAATTAAACACATTTAGCAGTGAAGTGTTCCTGCAACGTCCTGGAACCTCCATTCATGACCTCTTGGGGCCTCTGAACTCCACCTTGAACTAATAAAATAGGTGGGGGGGACTTACCAAAGTCATTCTTACACAGGTTGTCAACAATTTCGTTGTCATTTTCATCCGTTTCCTTGCACGCGTCACACACCCTGGGCACTAAAAGAGAAGTTAGATTTAGGTGAACATGATATCATCTACCACATTTTAACCGGTAATTACCTAAATAAATAGGTCACACACATCTAGATGTTACCACAGTGGACGGTGGTGCAATAAATGGACGGATAAGCGAATTATATTTATACACCACGAAATTAATTTGGCATTTACGCACAATACTTGGGGGGTCAATTTGCTCCTAAGACACAGTTTAACGAAACCATACCTTCTTTGGTGGCTGGCACAAAGTTGTCGATGCCTGCAGGCGGTATGCACAGGTCATTGTCGAGTGGGAAACGGTCGCAGTCCAACATCTTTGGCCAAGGGAAGCCGAACGCGGACATCACGGGCTCGCAGCCGTTCTTGACGCTCTCGCACAGAGACCTGCACGGCTGTATGGGCTCGTCCAAATCGTCCAGACAGACGGGAGCGAAAAGGGAGCACAGGAACTTCCTCGTGTCGGGGTGACATTGCTTCTGGACCAGAGGGATCCAAGACGAAGCTTGCTGCAGAACTTCATTCATGGTTTCGTGTCCGAGCAGGTTCGGCAGGCGCATCTCCGTGTACTCTATGTCGTTGCACAGGAGGAGATTGGCCGGAATCGGCTTGCAGTTGCTCTTTTTGTAGAATAACTCATGCTGTCCGAAATTGTACAATCCGTGGATAGCTTCCATGCAGGGTATTGTCATCACCCACAACACTGTCACTGTCGAAATAAAGGCCCTCATTGTTTTGCACGTAAAACCTGCAAAATGTAAACGCCTGATCAGGGTTGCTGAGCATCAGTCAGCGTGGATGGAGTCTCTGTCAGTGGCCAGCAGCTACTGTAACAAGAGGTTTTCTTCCAGGCATGTCTGGGAGGAGTCTGCACGCTGTGCGTATAAACCGTTTCTCCATTCAGCACTTGGTTTCCTCATATCGGGTGAAGATAAATGTGTCTCCTTAGTCCCCCCCACACACACACACCAAAAAGGCCCAAATTCTCGCGTGTTGCTCCTCTGGGTCTCACAGGTATTTTATTTTGATTTCTAATTATAGCTCATAGTATTTTATCACCGGACGTTTTGTTTCCCCCCCCCACAATTCCCCGCTCTATTTCATCTCCTGCCCCTTCGTGGAAATCACAACAAAACGTGTCTGACAGGTTTTCCTCATTACGCCCAGATCAACAGCAATATATCCTGAGTGATCCCTTAACGTGCTGCTTTTAGCCCCGTGCTGTAAATAGTTGGGAGATGTTGTCAGAAGGGGCATTTAGCTCAGTTCAGTGGAGCGTTAATTTTCCATCATTAGGGGGTTCAGCGGGGAAATCCTCCGGGCAGGTCTGCAGGTTCATGAAATATTGTTTGCCCTGGTGTGAGAAGCAGACCTCCACTCAGCACACCCAGGGGTGAAACCAAATCTGCAGCTCTGGCTCCTATCCGCTCTCAGACCCCCTTGAGCTACGGTCTGGTCTGCAGACAGCAGTGTGGTTCTTCTCAGGATTGACCCTCTTGCTCTAAAAATTAGCACTTAAATCACGTATGTGATGTATGTGGAATTTCTAGCTAAATGGGTCAGTTCACCCAAGTTACAGAAACATATTTTCCCACTTACCCCTGTGGTACCTGTGGTTTCTAGATATTCAGATAGTTTTGGTTTTACTGACACAGATTTAGAGACATGTGTCATTGAGACTTCTGCTGCCACGTCCAACGAAACAAAAGGTACATTATATCAATTGTGATTCTATTTTCCAGAAGTAATGCATTGATCAGCATATTCTAAAACTCATCTGGAGTGAAAAGTATAGCCTCACATGTTGATTCCTGTATCGTCAGTCTCTCACATCCTCCTCAGCTGTTGGTTCAGTCATTCACAAAGGTTATGAGTCACTTGTTTTCAGTAGTGGGTGAAAATAATTTGAATAGAAAGCACAGTTGTAGTTTATTTTCTCTGAATTAAACCTGTGATTAGAGTTTATAGCTCTAGGTGTGCCAAATTTCTTTTAGCAGAACTGAACAAAGACGGTCGTTTTGGAAAGAGGCCTGGCTTCTTTTTCTTTCCATCGGAAAACAAGCCAGAACGTATTTTTTAAAGAGAAGATTGTGAACCTGGCATATAAATGGTGTTTTATGAATAAAGTGCTGCACCCTGAAATGAGGTGTTTGATTGTTTTGTCCACGTAGGTACGGTAAGTGTTTCCTGACTCCTTAACAAAGGAGCCTGAAGCATCATCTCATGATGAATCAACCTTATTGTCTGTTGACATCATCATAAATATATATTGCTCACACCCAGAGACTGAGAGGCTACTGTACATGAGAGCAAAACAGCAGTAAGAGTGCATGTTGTAACGGCTACAATACTTATTTCCAGTATGACTTTGACTAATTATCTTCACCAGGAGAATCATGCCATCATTTGCGCGCACGCGTGTCCGTGAGTGAGTGTGCACCTCTGTATCTGTCCACGCCTAATCTCCAATTCTGCTGCAGCAAACACAGCATAATATTTTGGGGTGCCTAAAACAAGGCTATGAGAGCAGTGAGACTGAATCTCAGTAGAGTTGCAGGAGCGTAAGAGTTGGCAAAACTCATGACTTCGTGTGACGTCTTTCGCGATGCACGCAGTGATTTGATCCACAGGTCATCGCTTCTTTTAAAGAGAAAATGTCTTCCAAGCTTAACCAGGATTGAGCTGGCATTCAGAGCGAAAAACAAGGGGCTGCGTTGGTGGGGGTTGTGTTGCTTCAGGTACTAGCGAGACATGAAATACGATCCAGGAAGTGCAGCTTGAGTGACAGATCCATGAGTTTGAAGGGTTGTTAGATGCCAAAAACACTGCACAGCGGTTTGTAATACTCTGAGACAGAATGATGTCATTCTGAAAAGTTAACGCGGTGGCAATTATCATTTGTCACAATGATTTCCCGCTGTAGCACCAGATCGAATGAAATGAATGAGAGGGTCTGAATGCGGCCTAAGAGCGCTGGAGGAGAGACCTCACTGGTTCTTCAGTCTGTGTCAGAGGTTTAACTTGTTTTTACAGGGCAACTCTCCCCCTCTTATCCCCTTTCCTTGAAAGTGTGCTAATTCTATTCAGGTCTCTGTAGAAACACTTATACGGCCATTTAAGGGCTCGAGACCCCTATTAACCTGCAACTGGACTCCCTTTAGCCGAGCAGCGGGTCAGCTGGCTAAACTGTGGTGTGGCAGGTCACACGCTAACCTTTCTTGGGCCACTAAATGTGATCAGCTGTAAACACACTCTTGGGCTGTGTGTGCAAACTCTTTTGGGACATGCATTGGGGCGTTATATATTATATACTATATATAAAACATTTGTGGTAAAGTAGTCGGAGTGATAGATCCTCCGGATACTTCAGCTCATCTTTTATGATTACAAGAAACAAAGACTACCGATCATGGAAATGGACTGCAGCTATAGGATTGGATAAAGCCTTACCAAGCTTAAGGTTTTATACCTGCAAACAGATAACATCCAGTTTTCACTAACAATACGGTTTCACAGACAGTTAAGGTCCCGGGATAGAGGTAAGCTGATCCTAGGCCTGTGCCTAAAGCCACCCCAGCAGGTTTTCATTACAACTCTGTGTGAAAATGAGACGCAGCTTGTCAGACCTAGTGGTCCATCTGTTGCCCCTTCGTTCTTTGTCTTTCCCCTCCACTACCATTAACCCTTCACCCTTTTCTTTCATTTTTTTCATAAAGAATCAAGGGCTACACTACTGTCAGAAACAATCACAGGATGTATGGTGCAGGTTCAAAAGAAAGCCAAACCCAAGTGGGAATGTTTTGAGGAATCAATGTATTAAGACTCATCGCTCAGTATGAGGATCATCAAAGCAGTCAGGGCTGCTATAATGTAAACCAAACCATCTCTGTTTTGTTTAAAAGTCTTGTGTCTTAGCAGATTCCCCATTGTCCCATTTGTATGCAGACAGGCTACCCAGCTCCATGCAGGATCTTTGGATGATGTGGACAAAATGACATTTCATAATAACAGATTAAAAGACAGGTCTGGTGATAGTCTATGTTTTTCATAGTCTCAACAAATCCAAAACCGACAATGAAGTGAACGAGTATTGTCTGTCTGGTTTAATCTTATTCCTCTGTGTTGAACTGTGTAGACCTTCATTCTTGAACAAAAACTATTAAAAACCACAATGTTGCACTGCGTGAAATGCTCCTTCAATGCCATGAATATGGACACTTTAGTTTATTTTGAATCAATGCCACATACAAAATCCTGCTGCCGTAAACACGCTAGTGCACCAAATGTGTATTAATCTGCGAATGAAAATCGTCAGAAATACACAATCTAATCCTGTTTGAGTAACGTTGACTAAAAACGTCAGTGTCCAGCTGCTTTAGAAAATGACTGAGCCCCTTTTAAAAATACAACTACATTTTTAAAGATAAATTTCTTCAGTATGAATGAATGGACTTTGGGCTGAGTGACATAGTTAGGCTAGAAAAGTCGGAGAGCATTGAGAGACAGAACAATATAATGTTAGTTTTGGCTTTTTAAGTAAAATATAGAATAATGCCAGTCTCAACCTATAAAGGAAAAACTAATTTGCAGTCTACCTTCATTGGTCTGAGATCTCTTAGACGTGATTGTGCTGAATCACTGCCAGGCTATAGGACAGACTCCGTGAAGATGGTACCTTTACAGAAATGGTGTTATCTGCCTGATAATAGGGATTATTTAGTAGCCCAGAATGGAAAAAGAAACACAATCCTTCACTATTAGGACCACTAGTCTTCATCTTCCACGGCCCCTTGACTGCCAACTAATCAATCATACAGCTCTGAACATTGTCTTGAAGTGCACTAATGAGCTTGTTAACTTCAATCACTCCTTCTACATGGACATTTGGGAAAGAATGTATCCCATCCAAGAGGAATTAATCTCATTAGAGCTCCAGAGACATATAGATTGTGCCTGCTTGGCGTAATTGATGTTCCTATTGTACAGGTCTAATTGACTCAGTATGGGGTTTCAGAGCAGCTGTAGGACACGTAGACGACTCTACCAGACTTTGGAAGAACCACATGTATATTAGAGATGTGGGGCACTGTACGTAGCAGTGGACAACTATGTGGAGAGATGTATTCTCTGTAATGTTAGAAATATTTAACGTTAAGTGATCAGCCATTTAGGAGTCATGGAAAGCAATAATTTGACATAATGCTTACTTGGATTTTTGCAGAGATTAAGATGAAAAGATCACAGAGGTGGAAGAAGAATTCAGATCTTTTACTGAAGTAAAAGTAGCAAAACCACAGTGTTAAAATACTCTGTTACAAGTAAAAGTCCTGAATCCAAAATCTTACTTAAAAGTGCTCAATACTTAATTCAGAACATATCTGTTACCTCACATGGCACGCACGTAAACAAAGCAAAGAGAAACTCAGATAACAACACACACAGAGGGAGAGGGACTTCATTCTCCGCTCAGGTTGTATAACTCTTCTATAACTTAACAGAGCAAATAGTGCTTTGCTGCTATATTAATACTCACTTTCAAATTTAGCCCCATTAAAGTACCAAAAGCAAAAGTTGTCATTACGCAGAATGCCCCATTTTCAGAATAATATATGTAATGGAATATAATTAGTGATGCGTTGATGTGTAAGCATGAAGAATGTCGCAGCTGCTAAAGGTGGAGCTAATTATAAATACTTACTTTAGGCTACTGCTTGGTAGATAAACGTATAACAACACATCATAATTTATTAGTTGATGTATATGTACAGTATAATGTGGTGGAGTATAAAGTACAATATT